ACATACATGCATATACATCTTAAAACTACCCTACTGCTATTATACAGGCAGCGCCAGCTTGTTCTCCTCTGCGGCGCTCGCTCAAAATCCAATATTGTTTTGGAATGAAAAGTGAGTCGAAAAATATTGCCAATCAAGGGCGCGAGTTAATTGTGTTCGCTTTTTGGGCAAATTTGTTATTTAGGCATAGTTACGTCGAGTCAGAAAGATAGGCGGCGGTCGGTATGGATGGGAGGAAACTGTATATGACACGGCGAGTGTAGTCATGCGGGAAAGCAGAGAAAAAGCAGCAAGAGAGGGACCGGACGGACTTATTTACAGACGGACGGACACGCTAGAAGAGTTAGAGGCCGTAAACTAGCGCTCTGGGCGCCGCTCCGCGGACGCTAGGGCATGGTCGGTTGGTGTAGTGCGGGCTGACCACCTCCGCTGCGCTGCGGTGTGCTTAGCGTTTCTACGTACAGCAAATCAACATATAGTACATGTATACTGTGATCTACGTATATTACGTTCCAAAACAACACCGCACACAGTATCCTTAGTGTTCACGTGTTATGGTAGATATGACCAGGGTTTAACGTGATCTGCAAGAAGAGCACCATCTTACCCGGGAAGGTTTTGTCTATAATCTCGTTTGAGCGCATAGCTCCCAAAATGACACGAATCGGAGGCGTGCGTGGCTGCAAAGCTAACAAATGCTGTTCAGAAGACATGCCAGTATCAGTGATGATTCAAATTGGCATAGACTGGTGAGGAATCCCAGTTTAGCTGGAGTAAATACACCAACTCAAACATAATATCATCTGTCACGTCATCGCCGTGAGGCAGTCGACACCATATCATTGATTGCGACGGTCTATTAGAAAAAGGTTTAGTCAGCTCCTCGCGCGAAGTATCTTTTAGGACAGGTAGATTTTGCCGATAGTCGCGACAAACACCAATATTATGCGTTGCAATTGTTCTGCTGAGCTCTTTATGATATTTTTGAAGGGTGTTTCCACTATCTTTCGCATGCATTGATTCTACTTGCATAGCTGCCGCACATACTGACTTATTTGCATAGATTCTGACTGATAGAGTGGCGTAGACCCTTTCGAGTGATATTTACTGGCTCCGATATGTATGAAGAACATACGAAGCCACATGGCTGTTGGCAGATTATCAGATCGTAAATATCTTAGACTTGATGCAAATAGTAGCTCATGTACATTATATGAAGTATTTTTGCTGCTTACTTATCAGCTCGGCGTGCTATTTGATGTGTCCGTGCATATATCGCAAGATCGTTAATGAGTGTGTATACCACGCGCTCGTGAGAGCCAAAACCTATGTATAGGGTCACTGTCGCTCTCTTGGTACATTTGCGTCGTCGTGCTGGCTTACTGTGCTTACGTTTCAGATGTACCAGCCTATATGACCAGGCGCTTTACTAACTCGTCACATGCCATACCGCAGAGATACATGATAGCTGACCGCGCGTCTGCTCGCAGATATATACGCGCGCGGCGGGTACACGTATAACCATCCCCAGCTCTGATCCCGACCAATTTGAGCAGGGCACTAAAGTACGGTACTGCGTACAGACTCATCAACTTGCCACATTCACTTGTATGATCTGCATTAACGCACACGTGCTCGTGTCTGTGTAGACAGCAAATTATTCGTCGCGCGTAGAGCTCACTCCATACTGTAGTTTAATTTATGAGCGCACACTACTGGTATATACACCGTAAGCGCTGATGGTACACATAGCACGGATTTGCGTGTGTCCAAGTGAGCGAGTGTACTTTTCATCTATGGTGACGCCTATGTGGATAGGGACGGTCCGTTTGCAGCTGATAGCACGTGTTCATTATTAAATGAAACGCGCTACGCTCTGTAGGTGCGTCAAAACGTTTGGCAGTGCCAAAGGCAGCTTACCGTATGTGCGGCTCCAAACCTTGCACTGTAGTCGGGTATACTAAATACAAAAATAGATAGGAAAATGGGGGCCTTAAAGGGTATATTTACCAATTACTTGCTCTTCTGCTGCTTTTTTTGCTCGATGTACTTGGTGTTTCGGGCGGTCAGCTTGCGATGGCGGCTGCGCCTCTTTTTCCTCTTGGGGTACCAGTCAGGACCCATCGCCTTCTTGACGTGCGCCAGGCTTTCCTTGCGGCGCACTTCGGCCGAATCAGGTAGTGGGGGATTTTCCTCCCAGAGCTCGACCGCTTTTGGGCCGTTCTCGCAGGCAATACAGCGCCGCACGATGTCCCGCCCGCTGATTGTACGGAATGCGTAACCGTACTGCAGCTTCCCGCAGCCGACGCAGCGCGCCCGGGCAGCCGTCGTAGACCGCTGCGGGTTCAGCAGAAGCGGGTCAATCTTCGCCTCGCATTCCTTGCAAGTAGGGCCCACCATTTTGCGAACTGTGATTAAGCTAACAAATGTA